CGTGCTGGCCGGGGCCGATACGCCTCCAACATGTACTCAAGTTGAAAGGTTATCATTGCAAGTGCAATATCAGTGTAATGTGCAGACTTATGGTGTGGCATTGCTCCGGGTGTGTGCTTGAACCACATTGTAAGAGCAAGTGACCACTGTTTGCGCATCTACAAATTACTTCAACACTGACTTCACATGTTTTGGTTGCCCGAATTTAGGCCTGGTGGCATGGCTCAGGTGATGTGACGTAACTGTGACATCGCTGTGGCATGGTAAGTTTCTCGGACCAATGTGCCTTTCACAGCATAACTTGAAGCTCGAATTTGATCTCCGAGGTTTCGTTGCCGATGGGCTGTCTCCGTGTCTCCAGTTTTGGAAGGCCGGCAATATGCCAACATGGCAACGTGCAAATTGCAGTTGCAGCAGCAAGGTCAGGTGCAGTTGTGACAACACGTCATGCTTTTTCACAAAGCCATTCACGCATTCAAAACTGAATTTCAGTGCGGACTTTGTTTGTGATCCGTCCGCTCTGCCATGGTGCTCCCATGGCGCTTTCGTTGTTTGCTCTTTGTGGTTCCATTGGTCGAAGCGGCTCGGCCCGTGGTGGTGCAGAAGGAGTGTCCAGAACGGTCGCGGCCAAGCAAGAACAGCAAGGGCTGCGAGTGTTGGGGCGGATATGTTTGCAACGACAACTGCAGAGCGCCTGGACTCCGCTTCGTGGGCTTCAAAGGTGAGGAGCCAGAGGGATGCGAGTGCATGCATGCAGACGACTTCGCTCTCCTAGGGAAGTTCCCAGTGCAGGTCGCGGCGATTCACTTTTGTGAATCTGCAGTCCGAGAGGCGCGGCACTTTTACTTTGAGGGGGAGGGGATGATCGAAGATTGGGAGCAGGACCACCGCTTTGGAGCCATTGAGCTCTGTCAGGGGCTGGTGGCGAATGCTTCAAAGCAGGTGGATCCGATGAATCCATGGCAGTCTGAGGCCCAAAGGTCCCGGAAAGGCCCTGACGGCTTTGGCCGCTTGGAGCGAGTGGAGAAAAAGGCCCGTCCCGAAGATCGAGAGGTTTGGGAAGAGGCCTTGAAGCACGTCTGTCATGATGAGTGCGTGGAACTCGTGAATGAGACGATGGAGGAGATGAAGGAAATGGCAGAGGATGACGTGCCCAAGGGCATTTCGCCCACTCGTTCCTGTGCCACCCGAGTTGTGCAGAAGGTGGAGGCTGAGACCTTTACGTGCTGTGCAAGGACCTGCGGCTGGAACAATGCAACCTGCCTCTCCTGGCCATTTCTCACCAACACCCAGCAGATTGAATGGCAGGCCGAGTGCTGTTCCGAATGGAATGTCCTCAAGGGTTCCTCTCGCGAGAGGCTGTGCAATTCAGTGATGTCTCCAACAGATGAGGCAAAGGTCTCCCAGAATGATTTGCCCGAGCCTCCCAATATTGATACCAGTGCAGTTGTCATCGGACAGGACGCCAACCTTGTTTGGACCGAGAAGGGCTTGAAATCCGATCTGGCCAAAGCGTATGAGTCCATGGACCCACCCCCTGAGGTCGGCAAGCCAGTGCAGATGCTGATCCTTTGCAAGGTCCTGGCAAGATTTTCTTTTTACCCAAATCTGCTGAGTCTTGTTTCGGGGACCAACCGCTGTTAGCCAAAGACTGCAATGTCAAACAAAATCTGCGCCCAAGGATCCTCACAAACCAGCACAAGCACAACCTTCGAAAGGAGGGCTTGACTGAAGGATGGTTCAAGGAGGTGCGGCTGCATGACAGGGCAGAGCGAAGTGACACATCTCTTCTGGAGATGTCTGAGGGCTCATGCGATGCTCCTGCGGACATGGACAAGTGCACCCCCACCTTCAAAGGTTGGTATCATGAGAAATGCACTCGGCAAAGTGGTTGGCAATATAGCAGCATGCGGGCTAACGGACTGCGGTGCGAGTTCTCAAAGGAGGAACCCGCAGAGACCCCATTGAAGTGCAATGAGATGTTTGCCAACGAAAAGAAGCTGGCTCGCTACTTCGAGTTTGACATCAGCACTAAAAGGATCACCTGCAAACTGCAGGTAGAGAAATGCGGGAAGAGTTTGGACGGGATTTTGCAGAACTTGGGTGATGCAAAAGCTGAAGGGATCAGTTTGCAAAAGATCGGCTTTTGGCGCTTAGGAGATTGAGGCTTCAAGATGATGGCATAGGATGGCTGCCTGTCCGCGGAAAAAGATCTGAGTTTCCTTGGTTTGGACAAGTGGCAGAAGGCTTCCGAAGTGGTTGAGATGGTTAAGATGGATGGGCCCAGGAGGATGGTATATGGCCCACTGCCATTCATGCGAAGTCGTTCAAACAGCAGATGTGAACTGCAGCTGCACCTTCATCTTTTTCGGACGGGGCTGGCCCAAGGAGGTTGTGGATCAGGCGAGCAGGATGCGTTTAGCTACGTTTTTGCCCACTTAGGGTGAAGCTGATAGAAATTGACAACGAATGACATCAACTAGACCTGTGACCTCTGACCTCTCAGATGTGAAGCCATCCGAAATTGTGAGACGGCCCAATTGTGTTGCAACGTTGGAGAGCTGCAGTTGGCCTATAGGATTCTCCCCGAGGGGGTTTGAGATGTTGATATTGTTGCTCCCATTCCGCAACTATCCGCAACTCAAGACCCGTGCCGTCACAGTTCATGGAGTTCATGGTCCTTTCATGTGTGTCGATGTTTTATGCCTTTTTCTCGGACATGATATACAAGTCAGAATATCTTGTTGGAATCTTAGACAGACCCTGGAGCATTCTTGGATGAAATCGCATTATTTCTATTCCGCAGCCAATCATGGAACTGGGGGCCCTCGGTCATTTTGGAATTTCAGGCAATCCAGTCTTAGTGGTGGCGCCATGAGAGGGCAAGGTACCATGGGAGCGGCAGGTTAATGGGAGATGCTTCATCAGGTGATCCGACAATGACTTCGAAATCTTGACTTTGGCATAGTGTCATACTGTAGCATAATCATACAATGCTTTCTTTCTGCGTGGGTAGGCGACAAACTTTGTAGTATCAAACGACATGACGGAAACTTGGGTTTGCTTGCTCACCTGTTTGTTTTGACATGTTTATCAGCTTGGAGGGTGCGGAAACATTGAGATTTGCAGTCATGCATCTGTCTCCTCTTGCATGTCGCTGTGTGTTCTGACGTGTTCTTCTTTTGCTTCTTCTTTGGTCCTTCTTTGAAGCTCCGTCTCTTGACGTTTCTCTGGTCCTTCGTCTTCCAAGTCACTTCAAAGTGGAGCTAACGGCATAGGCTCCGGGTTGGAGAGGATCTCTTCAAAGTGTTAGAGTCGGGAGGGACGGCGGTTGGCAACAACACATTGTCCTTTGCATTTGCAGTTCAAGTTTGAATTGCTTCCACATTTCCCGCTTTGTGCATTTCAATGACTTTTCTTTGATCCATCCTGGGACAGAGATGTTCATCCTGAAAATGCAACTGGGATGAGTCGGAACTGCAACTGTGATGAACTGCGGCAGGTGTGTCTTCGACTGGTCGTCGTGCCTGGTCTCGGTGCCCTGAAGCTTCAGGTGTGTTGGGGGGCTAGCAACGCCCGGGGCGGCACAGGGTCCGATGTGGGCATCGTCCAGAAACCCCTAAAAGGAAATTTTATATAAAACGACCATGGCTGGCTTAGAAGGCCTTCCGCGAAAGGTTGCGATGGTGCGCGCGAAAGGAACTTTGGATTTCGCAAAAGAAGTATCGTTAGCTATACTTCCTTACTTACTTTCAAATATACCTGTTTCCCTTCTTGCAGTCTGCAGGCATGCATCCAGACATGCTCAAAGGGGAAAGGGTTGCAAGTCTTTCTGAGGCACAAGATCAGTCTCAGAATTCTTACCCGAAAATCCGTGAAAGGTCGCGTAAGCCGAGCAAGCCCGCAGCATTGAAAGCCATGGGAGACGACATAATTTCTGCGATTCGGTTTTGGATTTAAGGGTTCGGGTAAGTTCTAATCAACTTCACCTTCCCGGCATGCCCCGCATGCTTTGTGGTCTTACAGGTTCGGATATGGAGTTCAGGGTATGGGTCGAGAGTTCTTTTGAGAGTTCAGGGCTTGGTTCCTGCCGCAAGCATGCTTCCGTGAAAGCTGTCGATGGTGTTCGCGAGAGGAACTTTGGATTTCCACGAAAAGGTCATTTTGTTATCAAGTAATATTGGATAACGCCCATGTGTTGTTCCAGGGTGGCTGATTTCGAGATTGGAACATCATGGAAGATGCTGGAATAGTGGGGCAACATAAATGGATGTAAGTATAGTATGACTATGATATATTCTGGCTAATTTGTGGCATGCTATCTATGTTTGCATAGTTCTGAAATGCAGCCGCGGCCGATGTTTTCCATCAACTGGGATGCAAAAAAAGTAGCTTTGACATTGAGATGTTGTTTCGTTCCGTGTGAGGTAGGGGACAAACAATCCTGATATTAAACGGCATGGCGAGAGCTCAGGTTTGAGGGCTTGCAGTTTACTTGCGCGTGCGTGCTTCTTTCTTTACATTTGATCAACTCGGACGGTATAGAAAGACTGAGATGGTACCCTGATGCTTATGGTATTCCTGTGTCAGGGCTTTCCATGTCAATGTCACTTGGCGGGTCCAAGGTGTCTCTGTTGAGATTAAGGGTCGGCTGACAGGTTCATGACGAGACTTTGCCTTTTGATACCTTGAAGCTTTGCGGCCAGGTTGAACTGGATACAGCTGGCCACATCAGTATTGGAATATTTCCTCATCATGATGAACATCATCGAGCATGACATAGGGGTTTATGTACAACTGGCCCTTACGGTGTGCATTTGTATACGGAGCCTGTGTTGCTTTTGCTGTTTGGCCTTTTTGTTGTTAGGCCCTTTGAAGCCCAGCCAGGCAGGCCGGTAAGTGAGTGAACTCCGGTCCCCGCCCAAACAGCAAAAAAACAAACACGGCCCCGCCCAAACGGCAAACTAAAACACGCCCCCCGCCCAAACAGCAAAAAATGAAACACGCGCCCGCCCAAACAGCAACAAATAAAACACGCCCCCAGCCCAAACAGCAAAAAATAAAATATGCCCGCGCCCTCCTCCCCCCCCGCCCAAACAGCAAACAAAAACACGCCCTCTTTCGTGAAGCGCCCTCTCACATTTCTGCTGAAAATCAAGCTTCGGAGTGGAGCGATGAGGAAGGGGGCAGGGGTGGGCGTGTTGTTTTTTGCCGTTCGGGCGGGTGGCTTTTTTTTTTGGCTGTTTGGGTAGGTCGTATTTTTTTTGCTGTTTAGGCAGGGGCGTGGCCCCGGCCCAAAGAGCAAAAAAAACATTCGAAAAGCCCAAACAACCGGCCCAAACAGCAAAAAAACATTCGAAAAGCCCAAACAACAAGAAAGACCAGAAAATTAAAGACTCTGACCATTTGTATACCCCGGCCAGTTGGACTTGTGACTGGCTGTAGCGTCGGGAAGCTTCCCCCAAAATGGTGGAGGGGAGCGATACTGGCTGCAAGCCCTGCTAGAACCCACCACACACATCAGTTCCGTGACTAATCTGACAGCTCATGGGCAAATTGCGAATCGCATCGTCCCGGTTGAATCGTCTTATGACACGTTTCAGGGTGCCAACCAACCATTTGAAACCATGTGAGCCAATTCACAGGGCCAACATTTCTCAAGTCGTTCTTTCCCCTGATTTGCCCCAAGATCCTGACATTGGCATTTTAGCGAAACATTGTTTGGGATCTAAGCTGATTTCCTGAGAAAGGAAAAGTAAAGGAAGATTCATTCAAAGGAAAACCCCAGTTTCCAAGAACATTCAACCCCAATTCCAAGTTTATCTAAAACATGGATAGTCAAATAGTCCACAAGTTTCCAAGGAAGTAGACCAGCATTGCCTCACTTCACTTTAATATAAATGTTTCCAAGATTCCAGATTGTGCAAAAAGGTTTTGCGGTTGAAGCTGATAATGCAAATTCTCTAATGCATGAGTGACTTCCAGTTGCAACTACTTGCAGCAAATACTGGATCTCATGTTGGAAAGTACAACATGTTCCAAAATACGTTGTAATTGAGTTTGAATTGGCATGAATTAAAACCAATAGTCAATCTGACATTGGCAATTGCTAAATCTCCAAAATATAATTGATTTTGACGTATATGGAATTGACACCTATACCAAATCTGAGGATCGTGAGAAAAACATGCCACATACAGTCATCAGTTTTATTTTGCGAAGATGACAGGCGATATGTAAATCTTGTCTCAACCTACGCCCAGACTGGGCCCAGACTATGTTTCCTTGAAATTTGACATTGAACGGGATGCCGGCAATGGTTGGGGGGGCTCATGGACAAATCAAGATCCGACGCAATCCCCCGTCCACATCTTCTAAGATCAGTTCGGTCAGTGCCATGGCATCAGGGTTTAAGGCTGGGCTGCTGACTTTCAGTGCCGGGACTGAAGCTTGGCGTCCCGGGGTCATCCTGATGTCAGTTGCTGGGCGAGGCGCAGGGCCGCCGGCAGTGCCATGGACTTCTGCTGAAAATGAAATGGATTATCCCGGATGTTATGATGAGTCAACTGCGATGTAAACATGTAAACCGCATATTAAACATGATGAAAGATCTACGTAAAGCCTCCAGTTTTTTGGAGTTTCTGAGTTTGATACAAACCAGAGCCATCAGCTATCAAGAGGCACAGGCCATGTGAGATTTCGGCAGTTTTGTTGCAGCATGCAGAGAGTCAAAGTTCCAGTGTGGACATGTTTTGGCCATGACCATGACCGATTTTGATGGACAATCGTGGCTTGAACATCTTAAGACTTGCGGCAAACTGGCCCATGATTCAGCATGGCTCAGAGCGTCCAAGCATGTACATACTTGGAAACCTTTTCGAAATAGGAAGTCTACATATCTTCTGAAACTGTTGACCCGATCGCCCCACAGAAGTGATAACGCAGTCTGGGGTAAGGGCGGTTTTAGGCGGTAAGTCCGATTTTAGGCCTGGTGGCATGGCTCAGGTGATGTGACATCGCTGTGGCATGGTAAGTTTCTCGGACGAATGTGCGTTTCACAGCAGAAGTTCAAGCTCGAACTTGACCTCCGAGGTTCCGTTGCCGATGGGCTGTCTCCGTGCCTCCAGTTTTGGAAGGCCGGCAATATGCCAACATGGCAACGTGCCAATTGCAATTGCAGCAGCGGGGTCAGGTGCAGTTGTGACAACACGTCATGCTTTTTCCCAAAGCCATTCACGCATTCAAAAATCAATTTCAGTGCGGACTTTGTTTCTGATCCGTCCACTCCGCCATGGTGCTCCCATGGTGCTTTCGTTGTTTGCTCTTTGTGGTTCCATGGGTCGAAGCGGCTCGGCCTGCGCTGCACAAGAAGTGTCCAGATGCGGAGCTGAGGAAGGACGGCAAGGGCTGCGAGTGCGAATATTACTCCGAGAAGGATGGCCACGGCTGCAAGTGCTGGAATGGACATGTTGGCAATAACCAATGCACAACTCCTGGGCTCAGGGTCTTGGGCTTCAAACATGAGGAGCCGGAGGGATGTCGATGCATTCGGACGCACGAATTCGCGGAACTGGAAAAGATTCCTGTCGAGGTGGCGGCCATGCTCTTCTGTGAGTCTGCCGTCCGGGAGACATACGCGACATACGGCGACATTTACTCCAAAATCGAACGTTGGGTGGAGAACCACCGCTCTGGAGCCATTGAGCTCTGTCAGGGGCTGGTGGCGAACGCTTCAAAGCAGGTGGATCTGAGGAATCCATGGCAGTCTGAGGCCCGAAGGTCCCGGAAAGGCCCTGAAAGCTTTGGCCGGATGGAGCCATTGGCAGGGGAAGCCACCAGTGAAGAAGATCAAAAGGATTGGAAGGCGGCTTTGAAGCATGTCTGCCATGATGAGTGCGTGGAGCTTGTGAACGAGACCCTTGAGCAGATGATAGGGATGGTGTACACTGACAAGCACCTTGCCATTTCACCCGCGCGTTCCTGTGCCGCTCGCGTTGTGCAGAAGGTCGAAGCTGAAACACTGGGGTGCTGTGCCCGCGTTTGTGGGTGGAACAATGCCACCTGCCTATCCTGGCCTTTTCTGAGCAAACATCAGCAGACCGAATGGCAAGCCGAGTGCTGCAGTGAATGGAATGTCCTGAAAGGTTCCTCTCGGGAGAAGATGTGCAGCTCGATCCTTTCGCCCTCAGATGCGGCCAAGGCTTCTAAGAATGATCTGCC